TATTATACTTTCAAGCTTTACTATATGGTCCATTTACCGATTTAATGCGTAATTTAAAAAAAATATATTTCCGAAGTTGAGAGGACCGCGGCAACCAGCGGAGCTCCAAGGCTAACGGCAGCCAGGGCTAATCGCAGCCTGTCTGCAGCAGCCCTCTCTCTGCATCACCATGTGGTGACGTCACGAGTACGCTTCTGTTCCAATTGACCCAGATTTATGCTGTGGGCTCCCCTTCTCACCAAGTCCATACTTTCCTGTGTTCTTGCCAAGACCAGACTTGACAAGAACGCAAGTCTGTACTCGCGTTCTCGTCAAGTCGCATATGTTTCATAGGCGTCTCAGGAGTGGGTACAGGGTTGTGCATGTGCATTGTTTTTTAAAAGTAATGAGGGCGGGTCTTTTCATAAATGTACCAAAATCCTGCACTATATCTTTAAGTGCAGCCTTTAATGGCATCTTGGATGCTATTGGCTTTGTTCAAAATGTGAATAGTCCCACACATTCTCATCTTCATACTTTGGACCTTGTGCTGACATGTCATTGAATGTGAAGATATAACAGTATGTCGGGTTGTGAGGATCAAACCAGATACTTGCAACCATCTCAGATCACAAGCGCACTGCTCTAACCAGTTGGCCATCACTCCCCCTGATGTATAAATAAACTGGAATTAACTGAACAGGAAGGAGGTCTGAAGTCTGGTGGTGCAGATATCATCTTAAGAGCCAAAGCAGGAACGATTTATATCCATCGACCCACAGACAGAGAAATATAGAGCTTTATCCTCATTTCTGCTGTTGGCAAACAGAGCAGAGCTTCTCAAACTTTGCAGCCTCTGTCTCATGATCCAAACTACCTAAATAACCATGGGTGTAACTAACATTGGTTTTAAACAATAAAATGAATACTAATTGTTTAACTGAATGAATCATTAAATCAGTGGACAGTTAAATCGTTAATTGATTAATCCTGACCAAATGTTAAACCCCAACAGGAAGCGTCCTGATGTCACTACAAAACTCATGTCTTTGCTAATAGTGGTGCTAGCAATGCTTTTCAGCTCCATCCTCCACCGCTCCTTTAGGAGGTGCATCAATGGCCTCCATCTGGAAGCAAAGCTTCCCGTCTCCTCCTCTCACTGAAAGCTGTACCTTGAAGCGCAGCGTTCCTCTGATGAGCGTGTGAGCCGTCTGGATGCCGTACGGCTCGGCGTACTTGGTGCTGTCGCGGTTGGGAAATCCCTCCAGGTTGAAACCAGGGAAGAAATCCATTGTTGTGGCCGAATCCATCAGAGAGCCTCCAGCTGGGACGCTCACCACCTTAAAGAGAAACGGACCCTCTCATCCTTCTCCTTTAGACACAGGCAGAGAAAAGCTTCCGGCGCTGCATACCTCACCGTCCCTGAGGAAGACGGCTGGGCTGACTGTGTTCAGGAGGACGCCATATGGACTCCAGCTGAACTTGTAGCGAAGAGGATTGTCAGAGCACTGTGGAGCGGGAAGCCCGCCGCAGAACGAGGTGTAGGACTCCACCTGGACAACACAAGCAGTTAGCTGCTGGTGCTGATCCATCAGTGTGATGGTTTCCTCCCTGACTCACTGTGCAGCCGTCAGCTTTGGCCTGGTCCATACACTCCATTGCCAGCATGTGGTCAATACCTGGATCCAGCCCCATCTCATTCACGATGGTGATGCCTGCCTCCTCCACCCTGGAACACACACATATCCAGGTTTCAAAGGTTTTCTGAGGACATGCATGAATTTTAAATCTTTAATTGTTGAAAAAGCCATAATATTCAAGTAATTTTGCCTTGAATTCACACAGAAGGACATATCAGGTGGTTCATAGTTAGTAGGTATGGAACCAGCAGCAAGCTACGATCTAAGCTCCCCATCAGCCTCCTTGTTTTCTCTAAATAGTTTTATACTTTATCTTAAACCAACAGCTCCTGGAAGTGGAGCCGGAAGCGGAACGGTGGAAAGGTTGTTCCAAAAAGAAAGGTTGGTTGATTCTTAATCTTTTTTACTTTCAATATTAAAATTTCAAGCCAAGAGTGTTATTGGAGGACCTCATTACTTTTGTAACATTCAAAAAAATGTTATATTTTGTTGGCAAAAATTAAGGTAAATGAGCCTAAATATATTGTTGAATAATAAATAAATAAATATAATGGGGGTGTTGGACATTTATTTGTAAGGGGTATGTAAGTTATCAAAAAACGCAACTTGCCCTATAAAGGGTAGGGATGGGAATCGAAAACCAGTTCCTTTTTGGAACTGGTTCTTTGGGTTCCGATTCCATGGCACCGTTTGGCAGCTTAATGGTTCTTTTAACGGTTCCAGGCAGCGCCAGTGCCTAACGCTGGGCAGCACAACTTACGTCACGTTTTCTACGCAAGTTACGCACACAGCATTTAGTAGGCAAGTACTATGTGACCGTAAGTCTAGAAAAGCAAAACAAAAAAAAATGGCGTCCCATCGGGTAAACCGATCGAAAGTTTGGATGTAAGGTGGCAATAACATCCGCGGGAGGAAATACATGCAACATGCAGAAACACCTGCGCACACAACATGGCATACATTTGAACGAATGCCCTAGCTAGTTTTATATCACTTGCTGTGCTTAATGAGGTTCCTAGTAAATCAGATGCCATTTCTGGAAATAAACCAGTTTTCTACCACTCTTTGGGGTTAAACATGCTACGAAGTTGCTCCGCAGTTCAGGGAGCGAGAGAAAGATGAGGCATGTTTATTTAAATCAGGGGGAGATGAGTTTATTTCCTGAAATTGTACAGTAATGTTTTTTCATTAAACGGATGCCTTCTCCATTAGATTTAGATGACTGTGAGGAGACGGGTAGCCTGGCTGGATCAGAGGCTGGCAGATCTCCTGGCAGAAATAGAATGTTCCAGGCAAAGGTAGATAAATGTCACCGTGCACTTATCAAGTTCATTGTTCAGAATCGATAAGAGAATCAATAAGGAATCAAATCGTTTCACAGAATCGATAAGAGAATCTGACTTGTGAAAATCGTATCAATTCCCAACCCTATAAAGGGTTAATAACATTTGGTCCGTGTCCGACTCAAATATTCTCTCTCCCCTGGTGGGGACGCCTTAGGTGCGGCTGTTGGTTGTTTTTAACTTAACCACGCAAATCTTTCAATGAAGAGACATATTTAAAAACTTTCTCAAAATGTTCCAAACAGATGGAAATGCAACGCTCCAATTTCTTTGGATTTCATTTGAACTGCTTCATCCACAAAAAAAAAAGGAAAGCAACTCAGAATCCTTCGGAACCTTAAATAAGCCGACCCCATCCAAACGGGGGCTGACACAAAAACCTGCGACCCAACGTGAAGGCATAGCTGGATCTGAATCAATGAAAACCTCATCCACTGCCTATAACTAAACCCCTGCTGCAACGCCTGCACGCGACACTCATCAGGCCTGGGTGATAAACCACCATTCACTACGATAACCGACAATAACTTTCCCATCTCGGTGAAAGAAATGAATATAATTGTGCTGCTTTGCCTTTGAGCGCAGGTAGCTGGTATTTCCTTCCCCTTTAAGACTGCAGTGTGTGTGTGTAATCATGTGACTCCACCTTTCCAGTCAGAAGTGTAAACAAAGAGAATAGCGGATGAGTCCCATGAAGAAGTGTTTAACACCTATAAATGAAATTACATCAGTTAATCCTCTGTAGTCGAGCCCGAGTAGAGATGAAGCTGAGCGCGCAGAGTAGAAGTCGAGAGCGCGTTGTATGAGTTGAGCGTGCAGCAGAACAATGTTTTCAGTC